ATGTTCGCGGGTCAATTTGACCCTCATAGGCAGCCATTCAAAAGCAACTGTACAGACACAAAATAAAAACATTTATTTTCTGTATGTAAGGGCACTTCAACTCCAGTTCTAACGTGCAAGTGCATCTAAAAGTGCTCTAACCCTAACCAAACACACTTGAAAAAGATAAAATTAGTGTTCAGAATTATTTGCAAATTACAGATGAAAATGTTTGTCAGACACAGATAGTAAAATAAGCTCTCATTTCAATATTCAAAATATCTAAAATACCTAGCTTTTAACCAAAACTTTTATGTAGGATTTTCAAAGGCAGATTCACAGAGCCAAAAAATAAATAAAAAACATTTATTTGATGTATGTTTTTGTTATGTTTGGTTTCTCACTTCCCAGTGAGTGAATAATGAAACTAGGAAAATAGGTCTTAGGAAACTAGGGAAAGTTAACTTAGGAAAATGAAAAATTTTCATTATACAGCAATTTTTTTTTGTTCAGTTACGATGTTCAAAGCATAAAATGTAAAAAAAAAAACACAAAAAAAAAGAAAAAAAAATATATGCAAAAAAATCAGTATACTGTTTATTTTCCAATTTTGTCAAAACAAAACTGTTTTAAAAAATGTTTTAAAAACATTTTCATAAATCATATTTTCAGATATAATGTTTTTGTAATGTTTGACAAATGCGGATATTAAAAGTTTACAGTTTGTATCTAAATCTTTGTTGTTTTTCATAGTGTGATTTTTGAGGAATTGTATTGAATCCAATTAGGGTCAATTTGACCCGGTCCATAAGGGGAGTACACAGAATTCGAACAGAACACAAGGGTTAAGTTTAGATTTCTCCTCCAGAGGCTGCGCGAGCATCAACAGTGCAACATACCGCCAGTAGCCTACATTACATTATATTATTATCCAATATCAATCGTGGGTAATAACCACTAAATACAAATAAAATCCGAATCATTCTCATGGTTTAGTGATTCCTAAGGTTTTTTTTTGTTATTGACGTTTCAGGCTACTTGTCCGGTCGGGCAAGTAAAATTCTCTTTCACTTGCACCTTTAAAGAGGTGGTTGATTATGATTTCACTTTTCTAACTTTAGTTAGTGTGTAATGTTGCTGTTTGAGCATAAACAACATCTGCAAAGTCACAACGCTCAAAGTTCAAAGCAAAGGGAGATATTTGCTTTTAAAGAAATCGTTTTTTTAAGGACTACAACAAACGGCTGGTAGGGACTATACGAGCTTCCTCCCGGGTTAGTGACATCACTAACCCTAAAATTTACATAAACCCCGCCCCCGGGAACACGCAGTCCATGTTGAGAAGAGGAAGAGCTGTTGTAGTCACTCTGTGTGCATCTCACAACAGTTCCTCCTATACAAGTGCTTTATAGATTATCCTGACAGAATATGCCAATTAAAGATAGTAAACTCCACATCAGCAAGATAAATACATCAACTAACCATTCAGAGACGTCCTGTTGCATTCTACATGTTGTCACTTCTTCTTAGTCTCTCCATCTTTGTCTGACTCCGGTTTAAACATAAAAGGCAGAACAGTTTCTGACATTTTAGCGTGTCTGCGTGAGGTAATCGGAGCTGCTAACACACACACTCTTGAAGCTCCGCGCACTGTGTCGGGAGCTGCAGCTCATTTGCATTTAAAGGGACACACACAAAAACGGTGCGTTTTTGCTCACCCTCAAAAAGTGACTTCACAAACACACTCTGGGGACATCAGAGATTTATTTTACATCTTGTGAAAAGGGCATTATACCACCCCTTTAAAAAAGCGTAGAAGGTTGAGCCCTGGACCTTATAAACTAAAATCTTTGTGACTCACCGAATGCAAAGGTTGGTATTGTTTAGCATTTACTAAGCACTGTATGTCGGGCTGAAGAGAAGAAAGTTGTAAACGGACATCAGAATTGACGTGAAGTTCTGGCAAAATTAGTAAAATAAAGCTAAAATAAGCTAAATAATGTAAAACTTAATTTCAGAAACACAGAGTAAGCAGCTGCTTGTTTTTCTCTCCCAGACATGTGAAGACTTAGGTAGTCACTATACTGTATTTTCTTTGTTTAGCTTTATTTTTAGCATTTTGATGTCAGACATTAATGAAGATTTATCCTTACTTGTAGATAAAGAAAGATCTGCATTTGTCCATTTCAGCAACACTGTTGATAACCATTTATCCATGTTTAAAAAAATATGTTGTAGCCTACATTAACTGTATGCAGCAAAAGTACTAGATAAATTGATGGTTTATTCTTAACACAACCGAACAGTAAGCATAAATAGTGAATACACAGTTTAATATTTTTTTTATCTCATTATATATTTAATTATTTAATATGACATTTTTACATTAACAATTAATTATTATTTTTATTAGAAAGTGGCGGCCCCCCTGCAATATCATTACGGCCCACACAGGTTGAAAACCACAAATTAGGGATGCACCGGCAGGAATTTTTTTCCGGATGATTCCGATACCAATATTTGTCACTTGCTCTCTTATTTGAACTTTTGTCTTTAAAATAGATTAGTATTTTGATCATTTTTTAAATGTGCAAAGTTCAACATTCTCATTCACGGTACCATGCTGGTGGAATGATCTGCCCACCCTCATCCCGAATGCAGAATCCCTGACAGCATTCAAAAGACAACTGAAAACTCATCTCTTCCGTGAGCACTTAACATAAAAAAAAAAAAAAAAAAAACATTCTTTCCTTTTCCTTTAAATCCTCGCTTGTCTGGCTTATGCTACTCCGAGCAATGTCTGAACTTTGTATTTTGAGCACTTCTTGCGTTGTTTTTGCCTCTTCACGATGACTCGCTTGGTTTAGTCCTCAGTTGTAAGTCGCTTTGGATAAAATTAATGGCATTTAATGTGTGAAAATAACAAAACATGCTGAGACATGTGCAACATACTTGTGTACACATTCCGACCTGACCTGGTTATTTTCTTAATGTGAACTGTTCTCCTCCTCGCCCTGAGGACCTTAAACAAGGAGTTGTCCTTTCAGTTTCACATTGCCAGGTGATTTTTTTTTTTTTTAAATGTATTCAAGCACGGTTACTCTCACCTATGGCTGGCTAAAGATCACAGAGTTAGACTAGACTGATGTAGGTTGTTCTCTTATGATGTCTGTTCTATGGCTTGAGTAATAATCCTGCCAGTTTCTGCCTGAACTCACATGGCGCTAATGAGAAAGAGGCAGTTTGTGGTGCTCAGATAGGAGGTAACATGTTCTTGCCATGCATTTAGAAACTGAGCCTTCTTTTAACAGATACAATTTGGTCACATGAGATTTACTCCTTGTCAGACAGGCCTTGTTCCATTTGTGTGCGCAGAACATTTTTAAATTACTTTTCACTGCCAAATGTGGGAGTAGAAGAGAAGGTGTGTAATAAAACTAATTAAAATGTGTTAGAGGTGTGAGAGAACTAAGATAGTGAGGTCTTCAGGGGCAGAAGTGAGAGGAAGAACAAAAAAAGGTATTAAGTATTCTTATTGGGTTAAGTTTTAAAAGCAAGAAAAGCACTACCATAAACTGCAAATTAGTAGTAGTAAATAAATACAACCTAATTTTATAATTACCATTGGACCGATGTATGTGAAATATAAATAAATGCAGGCTAAAACATTCGCGCTGCTGAGTGGATGGACTTTCAGTTTAAGTGTAATATCGTGCAATCTGCCATTTTGGAATAAAAATGAGGGGAAAAAATTAGATCAGTGAATGACTGTTTATAATATATAGGCCTACTAGCATTCAAAAGTTTTGGGTCGGTAAGATTTTTTTAAAAAAGAAGTCTCTCACCAAGGCTGCATTTATCAAAAATAGAGTATCAACAGTAGTATTGTAAAATATTACCTATTACAAATAAAATAATTGATAAATTAATTGTTTTCTAATGTAATTTAAAATGTAATTTATTCCTGTGATGGGCTGACAAACCTGAATTTTCAGTCGTCTTCAGTGTTACGTGATCCTTCAGAAATCATGTGTATTTGGTGTTCAAGAAACATTTCATATTTTTATTGTGTTGAAAAAAGTTGTGCTGCTCAATATTTTTGTGAAAACTATGATTTTGTTTGGATATTTTGATGAACAGAAGTTTAAAAGGACAGCATTTTACATCACTAATCAATTTAATGCAGCCTTGCCGAATAAAAGTATTAATCATTTTTAATATTCACTGCATTGAACTACTACATCCTAAAAAAAGATTATAATGCCAAATTATGATTTACTTCCAAAAATGTTATTTGTTTAATATGGCTTTTTTCTTTGTGATATCAGATTATATAACCCAGACATGTGTGACTATCAGACATTGAAACGAGGCTATGAGAGATAGACATGCATGCAACTGGGTGCAACTAGCCTTCAGCTGATGCAACTTTGAAAACATTTTTTTTTTTTTTTTAAACTTCCTGGTATTGTTCATTCGTGAAAAGTTAATGGCATCCACCCTTGAAAATATAAATGGAGGGGTTGCACTCCTGATACATTTTATAGTTTTACTTTAGCAGTTTCTTCACCCTCATGATAATGTTGATCTTTACTTCCGGGATTTCCCACCTGAGCCTGCTTTCAAAATGTCAGTTAAAACCAGTCGAATGTTAGTTTTAGAGAATGGCCTCAAGTAAATATAAAATCAGCTTAACAATCTATTGGTAACAAGTGTATGTAAATGTATTTTTGAACTATATTTAGGTCTTGCTCTATAAAGGATGCAGGTGCACTTGACAACCCATTACTGCATGCATTCCCATGGGAATTCCCAGGGCAAGTTAATATGCTACAAAGCTCTGGTTTGTCTCTTTATATAGTGGTAAGCTTGGATAAGAAGCGAACCTTGAAATGCTAAACCAATAAATCACTTGTAGGACAAACATGGGTGAATACATTTTAGAGAAATATGAAAACATTTTGGAGGATATTATTTGTTGACTATAACGTGTTTAATCTGATCCAGAAGGACCAACTTACCAACAGTGGCAATGGTGTCCAGGTCATCTAGTGTGTAGGTCCTGTTGGTGGTGAGGGATGCGGCCCCTGCGGATATCGTGGGACTGCCTGCGTCTGTCCTGCCACTATCCCGACCAGAACTGCTTTCATTATTTATTCCAGCTTTGCCTTTGGTTGATGCCATCTTCTTCCGTATATGACCAATCTAACTCTAGCCACATTAATGGCCACTTCTAGATATCAAATCCAGAATTTCCGCTTTTGGAAAACGCGCTATCGATAACATACACATTGATCTGTTTTGGTCAAGTTAACATCTCCTTTGTTCGCACAAACCAGACTGTGACCCTCTGCTTTCCATCGCTTGGCAAACAGAAATGTATCAGAACAATAGACTAGACTAGTAAACAGCCTTGTCATTAAAATGTTAAGCGATTCATGTCAACGGGACTGTCATTTATTCTCTACTTTATTACGGACGTTCCCGGTGCGACTACTGCACGTTAACAAAGACAGGAGTGGACAAGATTCAAACTTAAAGTCTTACGAATCCAGGCAGTTTATCCAGTCGAACATTTTCAAGGATGCGGTATAAACGCTGGTTGATGGTCCCCCAATGTAAATTGCCAGATACCAGAGAGACATTTAAATTATTTACTTCCCCCTTCCGTACCCATCAAGAAATCGGAACCCATTTCCCCTTCAAAACATCGATTCGCTCAGCGGCAAGGAAGCAAAGAAACGCTTGAAAACTGACAGGCAGCGGTGTTGACCAATAATATTCAGCACGCTTGAGGTAATGTCCAATCGAACGTTAGAAAAGGCGGAGCACTGTTTGACTGACAGCTTGAGTGTACGTATTTTCCCTGTGGTTTGTAGCACATGTAGACAACGTAGACATCACCACGCCTTGGTTATTGGATGCTATTTTGGGGGAGGAGGACACGTTGTAGCTCGAGCCTTTTTGACATGAGAATTTTCACCTTTCAGATAAGATCTAGGCTATTTATAAATTTCATTTTAATATTTTTTTTCCTTGAACATTTCATCAAAACACGTGTATCCGTTAGCACAGCACTATAATTCTCAAGTAGATGTGTCTAATACTGAACATAATACAAAACAAAAATAATACAAGAATGATAGATATAGAGAGCTGTGCTGACATTAGATAGGCTAGGTGCAGTCCTTCATCTGAGCTGTTAGTGTAAAGCAATAATGGCGATTTCATAAATTATAAAAAATTACTATCTATCTATCTGTTGTGTTAACTGTAACTGCTCAAGACAAAAGGACTCATAAAAACAGAATCATAAACTTATGAATGGAATTTTTGTATTATTATTGTGGACTAGCCTATAAACATCTGCTATGTGAAATAGCTTATTCGGGGTAATACACATACAAATAAAAATTTATTTTTTATGATCCTTCTTTAAAAAAAAAAAAACATTTAGCAGATTCTGCAAAGGTGTAAACCTGTATGACCACTACTATTTGGAATGATAATAGAGCTTATATGCACAACTTTTATTGAAAATGGAGGTTGTAAGGAGGGAATTTGAATGAAGTTTTTTTTATTTTTAACTCATGTGTGCTCAAAATACTCATTTAGACCCTAGACAAAACTTACGACCCACTCACTCACTCACACACACACTCACTGCTATGGACTCACTGACCCATGTGCAAACCTTAAGTGTCTATTTATGCACAGTACTCTCTGAACAGCCTAAGGGAGATGATATAAGCCAGTTTACAGGCACCAATTTGTTCATGCCTCTTGCCTTTTGCGTTGGATGCAGAAATGCATTAATATGTTAGCTAAACTTCAACACCAACATAAAATTAACCTAAAACGAATGTAAGAAGTTTTAATGAATTAAAACAAATGTAAGAAGTTCATAAAAAGAAGTTTCAATCAATTTACCAATGCCTTATTGTCTAATTTTGTAAGATTTTTGCTACAATATGATATTAGCCCCATAATCGTTTTTAAATTGAATTAAATTTCACCAAAGAAATAACATAATTTGAACCTTTTCTACAGCATAGTGGAAGTAAAAAAAAAAAAGTCATTTTCTATAGTTTAAAAAAAATTTTGTGTTACTAATGAAATGTTATTAGAATAATGTTATTAGAGAACAAGTTGTTCTGTGCTTTAAATATATGGGAAATATACATTTAAATAACAGAAAATAATCAATAATGGTTAATAATAAATAAAACAGCTAATATGAAAGTTTCTGTTGACCTTATTAAGTCAAGTCAAGTCAAATATATTTATATAGCTATAGTTTTTCACAATACAGATTGTATCAAAGCTGCTTCACAGTATCAATCAAAACAACTTAACAGTGTTTGTTTATTACTGGAAAAAGACATCCAAGTTTGGTAGAGCTGATCAGTGGTATGATGGGTCATTTAATTTGAATATCCCCAACTGAGCAAGCCAAAGGCAACAGTGGCAAGGAACCGAAAAACTCCATCAAGTGACCCGATGGTGTCCTAAAACTCCATCAGATGACCCAATGGAGAAAAAAACCTTGGGAGAACCCAGGCTCAGTCGGGGCCAGTTCTCCTCTGGCGTTTATGAAGTAGAGGCCGAATTTACAGTAACTGTAAGATAAAAAAATTTATTTGAATGCCTGGCTAAATAGATGCGTCTTTAGTCTAGTTTTAAACTGGAAGAACGAGTCTGAGCAATGAACAATATCAGGAAGGCTATTTCAGAGCTTCGGAGCTAAATGTGAAAATGCTCTCCCTCCTTTGGTGGATCTGGATATCCTAGGAATGACCAGAAGCCTCGAATTTAGTGATCTTAAAGAGCGCGATGGATTATAGGGCGTTAGAAGATCCGTTAAATAGACTGGAGCTAAACCATTTAGGGCTTTATAAGTCAAAAGCAATACCTTGTAATTAATACGGAACTTTATAGGTAACCAATGAAGTAATGATAGAATCGGTTATATGATCATATTTTCTTGATCTAGTAAGAACTCTAGCGGCTGCATTTTGGACTAACTGTAGCTTGTTTATTGAAGATGCAGGACAACCAGCTAATAAAGCATTACAGTAATCTAGTCTCGAGGTCATGAATGCATGAACTAACTTTTCTGCATCAGAGACTGATAGCATATTACGTAGCTTAGCAATTTTTCTAAGGTGGAAAAAGGCTGTTTTTGTAACATATGAAATATGCTTTTCAAAAGACAGGTTGCAGTCTAATGTAACACCCAGGTCTTTTACTGTAGCGGATAAAGTAACAGGGCATTCTAATATGTTAAAGTCGTGCTGTGAAAGGTTTTGTGGACGGTTTTTAGAACCGATAAGTATTACCTCTGTCTTGTCTGGATCAGAGGTGGAAAGAGTAATAAAATATTCTACTCAAGTAAAAGTACTACTACTTCAATTAAATTTTACTTAAGTACAAGTAAAAGTACTGGTCTAAAAATCTACTCAAGTAAAAGTAAAAAGTAGCTCATTTAAAATTTACTCAGAGTAAAAGTTACTGAGTAACTTTTTTAACAGGGGGGGGTGGGGGACTCTCCCTTGTAGGCTTGTAATGGTATGAGATTTTCACAGTATGATAACGTCTCAGAAAATATCACGGTTTACAGTATTAATCAATTAATAAATAAATAAACTGTATTATTAAATTATGGGTATTATTATTTATCATCATCAGTTAAAATGACAGTTAAATTAAAGGGTCACTTCAGGATTTAGCATTAAGCTTTGTTTCAGTAGAAAACCTGTAGTATTTTCGAATTACCGTGCTCATTTCTTCTACATAAATGACCCAGACCCATTTTAAATACACATTCATCTTTCCAGAGGTGAAGTGCCCCTTTAATGAAAACAGGATTTTTTTTTTGGTTGAACAAATGCTTTTATTATAACAAACTTGAAACCATTTGTTTGTTTTGTTTATTAAAATTTCAATAAAACATGTCTAATCAATTAAATTTGATAATTGATAATGAATTATATTAACAACTTATTTTTAACATTAATAATTTATGAAAATGTTTAAGAAAAATATTGTCCTATGAAATGTATTTTATTCAGAAAATTAATGTTTCTTTTTATGATTTAATCCAAATATATGATCAAAAACGGTTGTAATCAAATGTAGATTTAAAATTGTGTCCTTTTATTTTTTGGGGAAGCGCTGCAAAAACAGATTTACTAAATTAAACCATGGACAAAAAATATATTCCTTTAAATAATGTTTAAATAAAATGCATTATTATTGTTGTTGTTATTATTATTTAGAGAAGTAGGCTACGTTCTATTGTATGCCTATAATAGTAATATATTTCTGTCCTAATTTCTCCTAGTAAAACCAAACTTTTATTTTGACGGGTTGTAGTGAAGACCAAAAGTGTAAAAAAGTGTTTCAAAGTGTATTTGACAATGGTTTATCAAATAAAATGATGAAAATGCTCATTAGGCGTTCTCTCAGAGCAGCTCTGGAAATGTTCATGTATTAATATCCTCAAATTGTTTGTGAGACTCTAAATGTCACGCGTACTTGAGTATGTAGTAGACAAAGCGGCGCAGCTCAGCAGAACAAATAGGGTTTACATGCAGTATTTTTGTGCTAAGCTTAAATATTCACAGACCATGTCGCGATTGGATTTATTGGACAGTTCTACTTTCCATGTATTCATCCATCCATTATTTTGCGTGTTTTACGTGACATCTGCGTTATGTAAATTTCATTTTCATGACTGGATTCCGGGGTTCCCTCTGCATCACGTAAATCGGGACATACCTTTATCTGCAGGAGGGATGGTGTCCTATATCCTCCTTTTGCAGCCACTTTGCGTCCACATTTTTTGCAAATTGGATATCTATCCTCGAGTACTACCACGCTTTTTTTCTACAAAGTATTTTCATACTGGCCATAATTCGCTTGGCGCTTCGGTTTCAGCTTCAGCTGGGTCTGCGTCACCTTTTTTGCGCGTTTGTTCTCCCGCCCTTCAATCAATGCTGTAGTTTCCGGAGTGTGTTTTTTTTTTTCTTTTTTCTTTTTTTTTACTCAGTAACGGATATGATTTCAAATGTAGCGAAGTACAATACTTCAAAGAAAACATACTTAAGTAAAAGTAAAAGTACAGATTTTAAAAAGTACTTAAAAAAGTAGAAGTACACAAAAAAACTACTCAATTACGTAACGCGAGTAAATGTAATTCGTTACTTTCCACCTCTGGTCTGGATTTAATAAAAGAAAATTACGCGTCATCCAATCTTTTATATCTTTAACACAATCTGTCAATTTGGATAATTTAGCGTATTCCTCTGGCCGTGATGAAATATATATTTGAGTGTCATCGGCATAACAATGGAAACTAATTCCATGTTTCCTTAGAATATTACCAAGTGAATAATAAAGGGCCTAACACAGATCCCTGCGGCACTCCATAGTTTGCCGAAGTTATGATCGATTTTTCTCCATTTAAGTGTTATTATGTTGACATTTTCTGAAGCTCATTTCTGTGAATATTTGTTGTAAAGTAAATTGCATTTAAAGAGTTTTCAGGCCCATTTTGTACTCTATGGAAAGTGCCTTTTATTATCTCTCAAGCACAGAAGCTGAAACCAGCTCAGTGTGTTTTTATTATGGGTTCTGTGAAATCTGTTACATACCATTCCTGCAGATCAAAGTAAAGCATGTCTTCAGCTTAGGCTCATCACTAACCGTATTTTTCAGTCCTTCTGATG